ACATTACAGGGCTTTTTGATGTTATAATTTATAAAAAATACCGAAAGTTAAACCATTGGGGATCTTTTTTACCAGTGATTTTTATTTCCGCAATTTATTCAATTTAATAAGTATATTTTTCAATTGCCAGACAAAAAAAAAWAAWTATTATTGTTAATTATTGCAGTTGACAACTATTACTGCTTTGTGATAATATAACATATATAGATACCTACTTAAATTTAACCTACACTACCTACCTATTTATTTTTCTATTGATAGAATCAAAGTTTTGACAATCATTGGAATCATTAAATCGTTATCTATACTTTGTATTTCTACTTATTAGTTATTATTCCRTCGTACCGACTTTATAGTATATAGGTACCTACCTAGTTGATTACTCGAATGTATATTATAAATTATAATTAATTATATTTCATAACATTCTGTTATCTAGTCCTAGTGCTCAATACTGCTTGCAAGGCAAGACAGGACGTTAGCTTAGGAATAAATATAATATAATATAATATTAAATAAGAATTATAATAAAATATGAAAATAAATAATTAAACAGGAAAATAATGATATAGTAATAATTGTAAAGATATACTTACTAGAAGAGTAGGTACGAACTGGACATTTTGTCATATTCGACATTAAAAAAAAAAAGGGCGCTATACCATTTCACCTTGCAACATTCTGGTCAGGGTCTTTAACTCGTTTTGTGTTTTTTTCTCATCTGTTCGTCCGCTTAAACGTGTTTTAAAAATATCACTTGTTGTCATCGCTATATCTACCGAATACGACGGTTTCGTAATAATATTACATACCCATGGACATACCCTACGGCTACAGGAATATTGTATTCCAATTTGTTTTTTACGTGCTACAAAGTGGTTTTTTCAATAGAATTAATTATAATTTTTTTCTCATAATATAATTTATTTTTGGTGTGGTGAAACTTGTGAAAGCAGTTACGTCCATTCCACCGTTTGGAACTCTTGGATTCAGAGACAAATTCAATTAAAAGTGTCGTATTAAAATCATGCAAAACATAATCAACACCGTTAAAGGAACTGCACAGGGATTCGCTGGACTTTTAACTCCAGTCCTAAAGGTAATCATGCACGTGTATATTATTAATTTCAAATAAAAATTGTCTCATCAACAACAAGAAAATATAACAGCTTTGCTTAATATTTTGTTACAATATTTTATAATTTTAGATAAACAATTAATATTTGTTGAAATAACTACAGCATATTATGTAAATAGAATACTACCTACTTAGTAACTATCGACATAATTGACCAATGGGTTAATTTATTTTCAGAACAATAATTTAGCATATTTTATAAATGGTTACTATATTATATTTATTTACTTATTTTATCATACTAAATGATAAGTATTTTTTGCAATATGTATCTACATGCATTTCATATTTTTAAATAAAAACAATGATACTATTTTGTAGGAATCAAAATTTAAAGATACAGGAGTAGTTACACCAAATGAATTTGTAACTGCTGGTGACCATTTAGTGCATACATGTCCAACTTGGGAATGGGCTTGTGGTGATGAATGCAAGATTAAATCTTATTTGCCAAAAGATAAACAATATCTAATTACAAGAAATGTTCCCTGTTTACGCCGATATCAACAAGTAACTAAAMAATTTATTTGAATCACATGAATTTATTTATAGATTATTTTATTAACATGTACATTTTTAGATTGAGAACAGCGAAATTATTGAAAATATTGTTGAATCAGAAGAAGGTAACGAAGGGTGGATTGAGACCCATCATTTGGATTCTTATTCCTATTCGCCTTTGAATGAAAACAATTTTGAGACATCACATCAYGAAGTAAGCAATACAAAATTATAATCAAAATAAGCAACTGTTTAGCTCAAAATCTTAATTAAAATAGTCCTATAAATACATTATTATTTTAATTTAATTTTTCCTTAATGTTAATTTACCTAMTTGTATTGTGTAATTATTTTTGTGACCAGTGATGGTTTATTAGGAGACAGAAATTTTTAAAACATATTATGTAGGTATGCTTTAAAAAAATATATCTGTTTAAAAAGTATTAAATGTTTTGTAGGGAAACTTTGAAGGACAAAACAAACATCATCAAGTTTCCAACATTGTAACCCATGAAAATCAAATTATACAAACTTGTAATTTCTACACTAAAAATAGTAATATGAGTGATAATGAAGATGATGATGACGACGATGAAGGTGAAGCAATAGATATGGATGCGTTTGTAGAAAGTGGTTTGTTGGAAGATGATTCGGTAACTTTTTCTCCATAAATTATAATTATTTTTTTTTTGAATTTTCAAATTATTAGGTAACATTTTTTGGTCATGGTTATATTATTTATAGATTTATTTTTGAATGAAATAAATTGAGAAGCTGAAAAATCAAAATATAAGTAGGTATGTGCATAAAATACAACTTATTAAAAATGAAAACCAATTTTAAAAGGTTTTTATAAATATATTTTATTTAGTTTAATCTGGTTATTCATTAAATTTACGTTAACTAACTGGTTATCTAACTGATTAGGTATTAGTATTTTTTTTCACTGCATAAAACTTATAAAACTTATTTTATTAAATTTGTTATTCACTCAATTTCATAGTCTTTTGATAATTATTTTATCTTTATTTTGGTTGTAACCATATATATTGTTAAAGAAAAGAAAAGATGATTAAATAAAATAATAAATTATTAAAAAATGAAATTATTTGGATGAAAATATAATTAAAACAAGAAAAGATTTTCATGCACTAAGAAATAATAAAATATGCTCATGGATCAAAATATAAATCACTATAGTAATTATTATAGTTACTATTTTAATTATTATCTATTAAATCAGCAAACTTTATACTTTTTTCTCAATTATCATACTCAACTGAATAGTTATATATTATCTTTTGGTTATATTCTAATCTGCAGGTACTAGCTGACCCGTGCACTTCGAAGACCGTTAAAAATCCTACCTCTATTATATGTCTAAAAATATGTGTTAATTCGTTTTCTGTAATGATGCTAGCAAATAGCAATATATTCTTATACCTACATATAGATAATCGCTAAAATATAATCTGTATTACTACCCGTTGATGCTGGGTTAAAGTAAAAAAAAAATAAGATTGTTGAATAATTATATATATATATATAAATAATAGTGTCGAATGTACGGTGGAATATGGGGAATACCCCATGGTCTCTTATTCGTTACTTATTAATGATATTTTGATGTCGGTGGTAAGTGAACTACGCCCTTCCCTTAGGGAAATTAAATATATGCTAACGTATATCTCCCCTTGTTAAAATCATAAATACACCACTAATAATTAAATATTTGGCACGGTCGTACGCTCAACTGCGAAAACGCTCTGTTGATGTTTGTGAGCACCCAGATGGGTGATCACCCGGGTTTTTAGATACAAATTCTTGCCACACATGAGTACATGACACAAACATTATAGATACGTGTTCCTAAACAACCATTTCCCCCTACAAACAGCTAATCAGAGGCGGAAACTAATTCGAATTATGGGTGGGAGGAGGGAGACAAAACAATAGTATTCAATAACCACTTATTAAGAAATTTTCGCTGTGCTTACATAATATTATATGCCTAATACCTATATATATACAGATAATACATATATTTATTAGGTATATTATATACCAACTAATAACAATCTTGCTCTAAAAATAAAAGCATATAAATTGGAATAATAAATATAAATTATAATACTTAATAATACAATTTATCAAATAAAAGTATAATTTACTTTGTGATATAATAGTATCCACCATAATTTTTTTTTAACAATACCTATAACCATTACCTAATCAAAAATGCATTTCCAAAAATGGAGTAATTATAAATGAAACTGATACCTCATTTTTCTATCAAATTTCTATTTCTATTTATTGTTTTATTTTCATTTAACCATAAAAAAAAGTATAAAATGTTTTATATCAAATGTTCAATGTATGAGGGAAATTGCCCCCCTCTTGCTACCCTAGATTGCGCCTCTGCAGCTTATGACCATAGTTTCCGGGCTTATGATAAATAAAA